ACAAAGAGTTAGTATAAATGGAATCAAGTAAGAGTGGGAAAATGTTGTAAGTGGAGTGCCTCAAGGCTCTGTCCTGGGACCTTTGTTGTTTATAATATATATAAATGATTTGGATTCAGGTTTGAGTAGCAACATTTGCAAATTTGCCGATGATACGAAAATCGGTAGGGAAATTAATTCGGAGGAGGACTCACTATCACTTCAAGTTGATCTAGATCGGGTTTTGAAATGGTCAAAGGATTGGCAGATGCAGTTTAATGCTGATAAATGTAAAGTTCTGAGGTTAGGTAATGGTGATAGAGTTACAAGATACGAGCTGGATGGTGTTGAGATTGCGAAGTCGGATTGCGAAAGGGATCTGGGAGTTATGATTAGTAAGAATTTAAAACAAAAGGATCAATGCATAAATGTTCGTAATAAGGCAAATCGGACACTTGGATTTATTAATCGCAGCGTTAGTAACAAGACACCTGGTGTGGTTCTCAAGCTATATCTTGCTCTAGTTAGGCCTCATTTAGATTATGCAGTTCAGTTTTGGTCGCCATATTATAGAATGGATATAAATTCACTTGAACGTGTCCAGCGTAGGATGACTAAGTTAATTCCCCAAATTAGAAATCTTTCATATGAAGAAAGATTAACAAAGCTTAAGTTGCATTCACTGGAAAGGCGAAGAGTTAGGGGTGACATGATAGAGGTTTACAAGTGGGTGAATGGACATAACAAAGGGGATATTAATAGGGTATTAAAAGTATCAACAAGACAGAACACGAAACAATGGGTATAAATTGGATAAGTTTAGATTTAGGAAAGACTTGGGTAAATACTGGTTCAGTAACAGGGTTGTTGATTTGTGGAACCAATTGCCGCGTAACATTGTGGAGGTGGGGTCCCTCGATTGTTTCAAGCATGGGTTGGACAGGTATATGAGTGGGATTGGGTGGTTATAAATAGGAGCTGCCTCGTATGGGCCAACAGGCCTTCTGCAGTTGCCTTTGTTCTTATGTTCTTATGTTCTTATGTTCTTGTCTTCATATCCCAGCTCCTTGTCTTCATATCCCAGCTCCTTGTCCTCATATCCCAGCTCCTTGTCCTCATATTCCAGCTCCTTGTCTTCATATCCCAGCTCCTTGTCTTCATATCCCAGCTCCTTGTCTTCATATCCCAGCTCCTTGGCTTCATATCCCAGCTCCTTGTCTTCATATCCCAGCTCCTTGTCTTCATATCCCAGCTCCTTGTCTTCATATCCCAGCTCCTTGTCTTCATATCCCAGCTCCTTGTCCTCATATTCCAGCTCCTTGTCTTCATATATCCCAGCTCCTTATCCTCATATCCCAGCTCCTTGTCCTCATATCCCAGCGCCTTATCCTCATATCCCAGCTCCTTGTCCTCATACCCCTTTTAATTTATATAAAGTCGTACTGGCTTAGCGTAGCTGCTCATAATTACTTTAGTCTCTAAAAAATGAACAGTAGTTGAATCATTACATTCATATTATAATAACCATTAATCATAATACTCAGACCTCATTATTCCTCATAAAATACAAGATATGGAGTCAGTAAACTAACATAAATCATTGACGACAAATAACGCGAATAAACAACTCATCAATTAGGAAATATTAAAATTGACTATGGGTAGTTTAGCAACAAGAAACAAATTAATTGTATATCATCACAACACTGCATGTATCAACGGCAAACAAATACAGTTTACTTCTACAGTTTACAGTTTATCTATTATTCATTGTTGCTGTTTATCTCCACTTCAAACAATATACTGTATTCTCCCAGATAGTTGTTGATATTCTGTACGTTGTTGTTGTTGTTGTTGTAGATTCAGCTCCTCGGAATAAAAGTTCCAAGTAGCACGGGCTATGGTGAGCCCGTAGTGGACTTACCTGGCACAGGAGCGGTGCTGTAACTGATATTCTGTATGCTTTATCATACCTTTATTGAAAGTTGCGTTCAAGTGTTTTTGTTGGGGGAAAAAACTAGTGGGAAGATAGGGAGAGAGGAAGGGTAAGGGGTGAGGGGTCCCGGGCGCCGCCGGGTATCCCCGTCCCAGAATAATATATACAACTACGGCCATCATCTTCTTACGGGCACCCCCTCTCCTGTGCCAGATAAGTCCATTATGGGCTCACCATAGCCAGTGCTACTTGGAACTTTTTGTTCCAAGTACCGAATCTTAAACAACGACAACATCCCTACGGGCTATTCATGCCCGTGCCACCTCTTGGGGTGGCTCAATCTTCATCAATCAGTCCATCATCTCCGAGTAATGGTCCGCGCTCAGTGTGGATGCTAGTCTCATCGCTGGTAACTAGGCAACAACGAGCCCTCGTGAATCACCTGTTATACAATCCCGCCATTTCGTCAAAGACACGAGTAATCACAGATATTATGTAAATATGGGACGATATCTATCTCTCTCTCTCTCTCTCTCTCTCTCTCTCTCTCTCTCTCTCTCTCTCTCTCTCTCTCTCTCTCTCTCTCTCTCTCTCTCTCTCTCTCTCTCTCTCTCTCTCTCTCTCTCTCTCTCTCTCTCTCTCTCTTCTCTCTCTCTCTCTCTCTCTCTCTCTCTCTTCTTCTTCTTCTCCCTCTCTCACTCTCTCTCTCTCTCTCTCTCTCTCTCTCTCTCTCTCTCTCTCTCTCTCTCTCTCTCTCTCTCTCTCTCTCTCTCTCTCTCTCTCTCTCTCTCTCTCTCTCTCTCTCTCTCTCTCTCTCTCTCTCTGGCTCTCTCTCTGGCTCTCTCTCTGGCTCTCTGGCTCTCTCTCTGGCTCTCTGGCTCTCTCTCTGGCTCTCTGGCTCTCTCTCTGGCTCTCTGGCTCTCTGTCTCTCTCTCTGGCTCTCTGGCTCTCTCTCGCTCTCTTTCGCTCTCTCTGGCTCTCTTTCGCTCTCTCTGGCTCTCTCTCGCTCTCTTTCGCTCTCTCTGGCTCTCTCTCGCTCTCTTTCGCTCTCTCTGGCTCTCTCGCACCAGTGAGACTTCTAGCTGACCTGTAGTAGAGTGTTCTACCTTCTCGACTCACAATGGGGGGTCACTGTTTAATTAGCAGTAAACAGTACCCAGGAAGTTAGTTATAACTGTATTGGGGTTGCATGCAAAACTCAGTAATTCAACCTGGGGGGGAGATCTCAATATAGGCGCAGGCTTCCTGTCCCCGACAATGGGAATGATTAATACCACAGATTAGTGTTATTATTGGGTTTTCATCTGTGGTCGGGGTTCAGATACGGGGCATCGCATCCCGTTCCGAACACAGCTCACGCATCCGTAATACACCTCAGAGAAGTCAAATTCCCGTACACGCATGCTGCGTACCACGTAGCAGGTATGCACTTGTATTCCAAGTGTCTAACAAAATGGTTCGACCCCCTCTCTCCTCCCCCCGGTTTACCACCACCTCCCCCCGGTTTACCACCACCTCCCCCCCCCCCACCAACTGTGGGGAAAAACTGACTAGTGGGATTTTATTATTTATTTTAATTAATGTTAATTTATTTATTAAATAAGTTATAATTAATTTGTTATTAATTTATTTCTTACGATAGTGGACTGTATGGTTTAAATTTGTCCCACTAGTAGTTTCTCTTCACATAATGGGGGGGGGGGGTTAATTATTAAATTTAGTTATCCCATATTTAAATGGTTAATTAACATTGTTAATGTCACTAAACTGTAATAAAACAGATATTGTTAGTGAGAGTGAATTAAAGCCTTATTTGACTAGGCTTCAACATACAGGTGTAGAACACGTGAGTAGGCTAGTCAGACTCGTGTGTCGTGCCCATGGCATCGTTGTGTACAGGACGGGATAAGATCGGTCACGTGGGTATGTCTATGGGCGACTCCACATTAGTAACTCCACGTCTCAATTTACCTGCCAACATTACGGGCTCACCATAGCCCGTGCTACATGGACACTTCGTTCTGAATAGCTACATCTGAAATAACAACAACCTGCCAACGAGTGAAATTTGCTACACATAAAGTATTCATTTTATATGTAAATTAATTATATACTGAAATAAAGGATGTTATTAAATTTGCTCACCCTTGGTAATTTTTGGGTCATGAGGCATAACCGCAACAGCACATTAATATTACTTGAGCTCTATTCATAAATAATATTGTATGGGTACAATGCCTTCCCTGGAAGCAATAGTGTATATTTGTGCTGCCCAACTCCTCGAAAATCACGGGAGACATCTCGCGTCACGCAGGGTGCAGTCGCACCTCCACAGATCTCCAGTATCAGCTATTGATACTGGTAATGGCTCAAAAGGGGCCACCACTTACGGGCTATTCATGCCCGTGCCACCTTTTGGGTGGCTTAATCTTCATCAATCAATCAATCTTCGAGAATAACTTGATCACAAATACTCGGGATGACAACACGACACGTTTACCGTTCCCGGCTACTCCCTTCCACTACTCTCATCCGCATCTTCTCCAGATGTGTTTATATAAAGAAAAGGAAAGATGGTTTATGTTTAATTTATTTTAGTACTGGTAATTTTAAGTTCGTTCCATGGAAAAGTTTTCATGATAATTGCAATTCAGAGACTGATTTTTTTTAAGATTAATTGATTAATTATATTGGTACTACATTTATTTCTGCGACGCAGAAACATAATCCGCGTTTTCTAGAAGAAAATTCCACAGCAACTAGTTTCCCTTTATGAGTAATTAACGTAATTTGATATTTAATTAACACAAACTCAGCAGCAATAGTATTTTCTGCATATTGTTTTGGAAGTTAGTAATTCATGCGTAATTTCCGACAAGAACTCCTCGACCCACTATCAGCTGCAACCTATAAACATCAACTTGCTCGATAACACCTACAGCGTAGATGTTTCAACTAGGTTGAATCCTTGATTGGCCAATAAGGTTTATATTTCAAACATATACGTATTTAATCCCTAAGGTGCACACAATGCATGGAAAGGGTCATATCTTGTATGATAATGGTGTTCTCTCTCTTATTACAGGACCAGAAAACCGAGGAAGACTTCGGGGAACATTGTGATGTCCAGAAGATAATGAGAAGAGTTGGCACTGCTTTATAAGACAACATTACGTGAATTTTGAGGAATAATTAACATGAAGCTGTTCTTGGAACTCATATGTAGAGAAGTCTATAAGTGAAGAGATACAAGTGGCAGCTTCAGCTTAAGAACGATGTAGAAGAGATCGGAGTTGAGCTTGATGATGAACGGAACTGTGGAGGAGAGTCCTGACACCACAGTGCCTGAGGCGTGGATCGTGGCGGCTCAAGGGTGGGCGTGGACGGTGTCCTGCGTGGGCGGCGTCGGTAACCTTGTCACCATCTCCACCATCGCCCACCAGCTGTACCTCGGACGGTTGTGGAGACGACACTACCAGTGTGGCCACAGGGCCGGACGTCCAGTGGTCGCTCTGGAAGGTGATACATTACTTCTGCTGCACCTCAGCTTCTGTGACTTCCTCTACTGCGCCGTCAACCTTCCGTTAACAGCAATCACTTATAACTACGCCATCGGACTCTCAGACACGGTGCCCAGCAAGAGTTTCTGCACGGGTGCTGCGTTATTCAGATACATCAACGCCCTGGCCGAGTGGACAACGCTTGGTCTGCTGACGGTTCAACGCTGCGTGGATCTGGGACGCTCCAGGGGCGCTAGGTTCTTCAGACCACGCCCGACCATTTCCTTCATCGTGGCCATCTGGCTGGGCAGTGTCCTTCTCCAGATGGACGCCATCGTTCAGGTCAGTTGATGACTCTGATATTTAACTTGCAATCTTCCAAGCTTGGTGTCCTTTTATAATTATTATTTAATTTGCAATATCTTTATAAGCAGGAAAGCAATAGTCTCTCCCACCCTCAAGAGTTAGGAAATATCCACCACTAAAAACGTCCGTCCTTTGAGCTCATCTGACCAAACTGTAAGCTGACATCCGGTCAGTTTGCAGTTTGTGTAGTGAAGTCATTGTACTGCAAGGGAAGTGGTTGTTGTTGGGTGGGGTTCAGGGGTTATAGGAGGTACTTCTGTGCATCAAGTTTATTAATTTGCAGGTGGGCTGTTCCGAGCCTTTCACTGGCGGTTGATTTTGCAAGATTACTATTCATCATAGGTCTGCAACATCCATTTGCAATTATAAATATGTATGATTAATAATCATCAATGATTTTCTGTACGCTGTGCTTCAGCTCCTGGGTTCTGACTAAGGCTTTATCTATCAATTTACTTACCAGCTTAACCTCACTGGTTACTGTGTTGAGTTTTGCTTTGGGTCCCATTCAAAGACTCACCCATCCATTTACTGTTCAGCTTAACTTCCTCGATTCTTTTTCTTTCTGGTACCATTACACAGCTTTTCATGACCCACTTTATGTCGACCTTAACCTCACTGATCATTACATCAAGCTTTAGCTCCTTGCCCCGGTCCACAGGCTTCCCCATATAACTTGTATGTATGTATGTATGTATGTATGTATGTATGTATGTATGTATGTATGTATGTATGTATGTATGTATGTATGTATGTATTTATGTATGTATGTATGTATGTATGTATGTATGTATGTATGTATGTATGTATGTATGTATGTATATATGTATGTATGTATGTATGTATGTATGTATGTATGTATGTATGTATGTATGTATGCATGTATGTGTGTTATTTGTATGTATGTATGTATGTATGTATGTATGTATGTATGTATGTATGTATGTATGTATGTATGTATGTATGTATGTATGTATGTATGTATGCATGTATGTATGTATGTATGTATGTATGTATGTATGTATGTATGTATGTATGTATGTATGTATGTATGTGTTATTTGTATGTATGTATGTGTGTTAGTGTGAGTGTGTGTGTGTGTGTATGTATGTATGTATGTATGTATGTATGTATGTATGTATGTATGTATGTATGTATGTATGTATGTATGTATGTATGTATGTATGTGTTATTTTGCATGTTTGTGAATGTGAGCTTGCAATTAGTATTTATAATTCTAGTTTCTTAAAAAAAAGTCAAAATTTAATTTACAATTTGAATAACTATGTTAAAAATAATTGATGTTTTACAATCAAAAATGAATTCCATTAGTATTCACATCTTTATTTACACACACGTATCCCACGAAAACATACACATACATCACAAACACACAAACACGTCCACAACACTAACACAAACGACCTCACTCCAAACATATAACTCTAAAAATCCCTTTTAAAAACTTCTATCGGATTTCACGCACTGTTGTTCATACAATTAAATTTATTAAACAAAATATATACTCCCTTTTGCCCTATTTCCATTCATCTAAATAGATCCAATAAAACAGATAATTCGAATATTAGCACGTACATTAAAGATTAAATCACTTACAGTGGTTTACTACGCCATCGGTTTACAAATCGAGAGATCCGGGTTTAATCCCTCGGACCGAACAAACACGGTTGGGCACCGTTCCATTGACCTGATACTTCTGTTCACCTATCTATAAATAAGTACCCGGGATTTAGACAACTGTTGTGAGTGTAGCATCCTTGTGAGGGTCAATATAGTTGGTCCAGCTGCAGCGGAGGGTGGGGAGTGCGGGGAGTGGGGGGAGGGGGCTTACACCTGATGCCTCTATTCACCTATCAATAAAAAAAGATAACTGGAAGTTGGACAACTGATGTGGGGTTGCATACGGGGGAAGATCAGTAGGTGACCTAGGAATGTGACCTCGATAAGCCTTATACAGACTTCCTGTTCCCCCCCCCCCCCACCCCCCCCGACAATGGTAAAACAATCCCATATATGCATAGTGTGTGTGTGTGTTTTTAAGCAAATTATATAGCAATATATGTTATTATATAACATATATTGCACAATATTACTGATGCCTTTCCCTCGCTTGTCCGGTTACAATCGGGTTTAATGGCCAACTGCATCATTATATATATGGTACGTTCCACCGCCTAAATCTGGACTTGATGAAATAGTTGACTATGAAACCCGAATGCACCCGAGCAGGGGATAGAATCAGTTGGAAAAATGCTGTCCCTTGCATTTGTGGAGTGTGTACACACACACATATATATTTGTGGTGTGCATACACACACACACACACACACACACACACACACACACACACACACACACACACACACACACACACACACACACACACACACACACACACACACACACACACACACACACACACACACACACATATATATATATATATATGTGTGTGTGTGTGTGTGTGTGTGTGTACTCACCTAGTTGTACTCACCTAATTGTACTCACCTAATTGTGCTTGCGGGGGTTGAGCTCTGGCTCTTTGGTCCCGCCTCTCAACCGTCAATCAACTGGTGTACAGATTCCTGAGCCTACTGGGCTCTATCATATCTACATTTGAAACTGTGTATGGAGTCAGCCTCCGCCACATCACTTCCTAATGCATTCCATTTACTAACTACTCTGACACTGAAAAAGTCTTTCTAACGTCTCTGTGGCTCATTTGGGTACTCAGCTTCCACCTGTGTCCCCTTGTTCGCGTCCCACCAGTGTTGAATAGTTCATCCTTGTTTACCCGGTCGATTCCCTGAGGATTTTGTAGGTTGTGATCATGTCCCCCCTTACTCTTCTGTCTTCCAGTGTAGTAAGGTGCATTTCCCGCAGCCTTTCCTCATAACTCATGCCTCTTAGTTCTGGGACTAGTCTAGTAGCATACCTTTGGACTTTTTCCAGCTTCGTCTTGTGCTTGACAAGGTACGGGCTCCATGCTGGGGCCGCATACTCCAGGATTGGTCTTACATATGTGGTGTACAAGATTCTGAATGATTCCTTACACAGGTTCCTGAACGCCGTTCTGATGTTAGCCAGCCTCGCATATGCCGCAGACGTTATTCTCTTTATGTGGGCTTCAGGAGACAGGTTTGGTGTGATATCAACTCCTAAATCTTTCTCTCTGTCTGTTTCATTAAGTACTTCATCTCCTATTCTGTATCCTGTGCCTGGCCTCCTGTTTCCACTGCCTAGTTTCATTACTTTGCATTTACTCGGGTTGAACTTCAACAGCCATTTGTTGGACCATTCACTCAGTCTATCCAGGTCATCTTGTAGCCTCCTACTATCATCCTCTGTTTCAATCCTCCTCATAATTTTTGCATCGTCGGCAAACATTGAGAGGAACGAATCTATACCCTCTGGGAGATCATTTACATATACCAGAAACAGTATAGGTCCAAGGACTGACCCCTGCGGGACTCCACTTGTGACGTCTCGCCAATCTGAGACCTCACCCCTCACACAGACTCGTTGTCTCCTGTTGCTTAGGTACTCTTCTATCCACCGGAGTACCTTCCCTCTCACTCCAGCCTGCATCTCCAACTTTCGCACTAGCCTCTTGTGTTGCACTGTATCAAAGGCTTTCTGACAATCCAAAAATATGCAGTCTGCCCACCCTTCTCTTTCTTGCCTTATTTTTGTTGCCTGGTCGTAGAATTCAAGTAACCCTGTGAGGCAGGACCTGCCATCCCTGAACCCATGTTGATGCTGTGTTACAAAGTTCCTTCGCTCCAGATGCCCCACTAGTTTTTTTCGCACAATCTTCCCCATCAGCTTGCATGGTATGCAGGTTAGGGACACTGGCCTGTAGTTCAGTGCCTCCTGTCTATCCCCTTTCTTGTATATCGGGACTACGTTAGCTGCTTTCCAAATATCTGGCAGTTCCCCTGTTGCCAGTGATTTGTTATACAATATGGAGAGTGGTAGGCACAGTTCTCTTGCTCCTTCCTTTAGAACCCAAGGGGAGATTCCATCTGGGCCTATAGCCTTCGTCACGTCCAACTCTTGTAAACACTTCCTTACTTCCCCACTGGTAATCTCAAACTCTTCCAGTGGTTCCTGGTTAGCTATTCCCTCACTTACCTCTGGAATTTCTCCTTGCTCTAAGGTGAAGACCTCCTGGAATTTCTTATTCAATTCCTCACACACTTCCTTGTCATTTGTAGTGAATCCTTCCGCCCCTATCCTTAATCTCATAACCTGTTCCTTTACTGTTGTTTTTCTCCTAATGTGGCTATGCAACAATTTAGGCTGAGTCTTTGCCTTGCTTGCGATGTCATTTTCGTATTGTCTTTCTGCCTCTCTTCTCATCCTGACATATTCATTCCTGGCATTCTGGTATCTTTCTCTGCTCTCCAGTGTCCTGTTATTCCTATAGTTTCTCCATGCCCTTTTACTTTGCTGCTTAGCTAGCCTACATCTCTGATTAAACCATGGGTTTCTCATCTTCATTTCTCTGTTTTCCTTTTGGACTGGGACAAACTTGTTTGCTGCGTCCTTGCACTTCTGCGTGATGTAATCCATCATATCTTGGGCCGTCTTTCCCCTGAAAGACCGGGCCGTCTTTCCCCTGAAAGACCGGGCCGTCTTTCCCCCCTCCCCTGTGTGTGTGTGTGTGTATGTGTGTATGTGTGTGTGTATGTGTGGGTGTGTGTGTGTGTGTGTGTGTGTGTGTGTGTGTGTGTGTGTGTGTGTGTGTGTGTGTGCGTGTGTGATAGAGGTACTTGGGACATTTTATGATCTAAAAATGCATGAATATTGAAGGAAATAGTATGCAAATTTCATTGCATAATAAAAAACAATAATTTAATGGCGAGTGCTCGGTAGAAATAGTGCTGGTTTGTGTTGACTCTGAATACGTTTGTGTTTATAGCAAACTGTGTGATGTATGGAAAGATATATTA